AATCAAATTCACAGCTGTCAATTTTAACACTCACTAGGAGTTTTTCTTGAAGGTTTTGAACCGCTTGCCAAAATTCAGCTAGAGTTGATATAGATTTTTAACATTTCTCTTGTTGATTGATACATGATTACTACAAATTATAGAAATCGCGTAAAGAGTCAATAAGAAAAGATGCATGCAAGAGTTTTACACAGATATAGCTATCATTTGTCCATCTGTCTCTCTGTCCATCCATCCATCCTCCTACCTATTTATCACTTCTTTTTTTGGTCTACTTATCTTTTCTTTCTTTCCTTCTCTCTCTTCTCTTCTCTTCTCTTCTCTTCTCTTCTCTTCTCTTCTCTTCTCTTCTCTTCTCTTCTTCTCTTCTCTTCTCTTCTCTTCTCTCTCTCTCCACCCATCCATCCACACTATTCTATTTATCTATCCATTTATCTCCCCATACATCTATCTCATCAACAGACCAATCTTACCTTTCTAGTCTAGCCGGGGATTTAGCTCAGTGGTTCTGCCGCCTGCTTTGCAGGCATAAGGTCCCAAATTTGATCCCCGGTAAGAAAAAAAAAATTAAAAAAAAACCCAAGTATTAACTTTTGAGCCATATTTCCATCTTCTGTCTGCCTGCTCATCCGTCCGCCCATCCATCTCTGTATCCATCCACAGAGACATAAATTACGGCAGCACATAGCCCTAATGGACGGAATGACTGATTTCTGACACAATGAATGCTTTAAGACAATAAACCTGTGAAAGAAGAATTCTTAGAACTTGGTCCCTAGGCTAATTGTATCAGGAACTGCTTGCTCCATTCAATAAGCCGTTTCACCTGTGTGTGCAGGTGTGTGACTATTAATCAGTTTTCTAGTTCAGCAGTACTCAGTTCATGAATTTAATTTCATCTACAATTTTGGAAAAGATGGCCTCATTTGTGTATGTGTGAGAAAGACAGGCTCAGCTGTTTGTCACCTGATTTAGAGTTTGCAAACAAAAATAAAATCTTGGACATGTTTCTGTTTGCAAACCAAATTGTTTACAAACAGAAGTGTTCATGAACCGAGGTACCACTGAATGTGTAACATTGTGCTTTTACAATAATGTTGGATTCTTCTGTACTATATCTTGAGTATTCATTAAAGTGAATTGTGAGAATTTCTATTTCTTATAGATTTTAGGTAAAACATTTAAAACTAATATATTTAAAGGCAACATGGGAAGCCAAGATAAAATTTGAATATGTATAATTAGTAAGTTATTATTAACACATTGTATAAATGTATTTAGTTTTAAAAATTTCCCTTTTCAACTACCAGGTGAATAATCATATTTAAAGTATTCTTAATGAAATATATTTCTATACTTCCTATTAGCTTTGATTTATCCAAGAACCTTCGTGGACCTTTATTCTGCCTTCCGAATTTGGTTATTGAAAATATAAGTAACTATTTCAAAATTCATATTGTTTTACTCACATTTCCTTCAAAAGACTTCCATCCAATGAATAAAATCTTTATGATTATTACAAAATATTTCATTCTAAATTTGTGGAGCTGCCTTGCATGTCAGTGAAACATTGCCCAGTCTGAGATCTTTAGTCAAGGAATAAAAGCTGTTTTCATAGTTAATGAGATATTTGGAATTATTTTCAGAGAAATACTAAGACAAATATACTAAAACAAATAAATTTATTTTAAAATGTTTAGATTTTAGACATTAGACTCAAAATAATTATTATGTTGAGTCCAAGACTTTTCCTCATATATTCAGCAGTGTTTCTTCCATTTAGTTTATTTTGTCACTAATAAGAAAAATGTTTGAAAATAAAGTCTGTTTTTTTTCTTTTTTTTTTTTTAATGAAAAAACAAATCTGTAGCATGTAGGTCTTTGGGTCAGCTTCCCCACAGCGGATATAAGTACGTTCACGCTAATGTCCAGAGTTTCAAAGCTTTCTGTGTTCCTGCCTCATCCATCTTCTGACATCCTAGATGATGTCTTTCTTCAAATATGGATTACTTTGATGATAAAATAAAAATTTTAATAACTGAGATTGTGACAAAATAACAGATGATCCAGACTGTGAGAATCAATGCTATTTATGGACACAGTCCTTCAACTTTGGGCACAAAAGGAAACATTCTTTGATACGTCTCATTGGCAATCATCTATAATCAGTATGCTCCATTATAGGTGTATCAAATAGATCCTCGCAAATGTTTTAATGCACAGCGAACGGTAATACTCACTGATGAGCACACTGAAGTCTCCAGCGCACTCAATCAAGATAGCAACTTCAATATTGCTTTGTATTTACATGAAAAATGTGTTGACATCAACAAGCACCTCCAAACTTATTTGCTAAGTTTCTAAAAGGCTTCATATGCAGAAAGTCAAATACTTTATGTGAGCAGCATTAGGAGGAAGTTTGCAAATGCTATCATTTCATTTACACAGTTAAATTGAATGACTGAACATATTAATTTGAATTTATTGGCACCACATATTATATGACAATATTCTCCTGAATAATAACTTTTGTAATCCTTATTTCAGGGTACTGCCCATAAGGTTTGAGCTCAGCTCTCATGTCATCTTGTTACCAAGGTTATTCCGTTTAGACCGATCTTGGAAGCTTGGAAGACGGCTCAGTTCAAGGCAAAGAATTTAAACAGAATATTAAACCGCCATCTGATACTATCAGAGAATTCCTAATTTTAATTGGAAGAATACAATAAAGACTGTAGAAAATTATCTATAATTGTTTTGGCACTTCATATCTACATTTTGGGAAGAGTTCTTGGATATCAAAAAGTTACTACATTTTTTGACTCCTATGAGTGACTGGGTGGACAGGCTTTCTCACAGGGACAGGAGAAGATCTGAGTTATCGAAAGAAGAATGTTCTGAATGCAAAACAATTCAGAATAATCCCGTGACCATCCTCCTTGGCTCTGCCGATACCCGTATATCTGAATAGGTGTATCGAGTATTACATTCTCTCTCCTCAACAAAATCTTGCTCTCCCTGTGGATGCTGTGTGGAAAGTCAGTGAATTCTGGACTCCTCGGAAATCAGAACTGTGGATGAAGTCATGGAGTTCTCCCTGCTCCAGACACATGCCACCCCTACTCTGTTTTTACTATAATTAACTCCAAATAGTACACTTTCTTCTTCCCAAAATTCTTTAAGCCAATTGAGAGCTATTCTTAAGACACAGATATGAAATATTGGTTATGATTTTGAAGCACATTTGTATTTTCATTGTAGTCTCTTCTTTCAAAATGCAAACTTGTATGTAGTTGCAAATACCAGACTATATTATAATAGTGTTATTGAAAATGTATATTATACAAAACTCTTTTTCACATAGTATATTTTAAAACTATATTTAACTTAATTTATAGCCCTATTTACATTTCTCACCATTTTTCTCATTGGCCTTTCTGAATAACAACCATTTTTATATATCATCAGACAGCCAATAAAACTAACAATATCCAAGGAAAATTTCATAAAATTAGTCAATGGGCAGTCACTCAAAATCAATAGTTTCTACAGTTTCAACCACAGGAAATCCAGCAAAATATGGTATTGAAGAATCAAGTTTGTCAGGAAGGTTAGAAAATGGCCAGGTTTCTAGAAGCTGGAAGGGTGAGCTACCTTCTCAGCAACTCTCACAAAGGTGGACTGGACCAAGCATCTGCAGAGGCAGCTGGAATGGATGGCCTTAGAGACATGTGGGCCAGGTTATGGAAGAAAGAGGTCACGTGAACTTGTGGTTTATGTGAAGCAGTAACCTAGGTATAACCCAATTCCAAATCTAACAGCACCCATTAATCTTAAACTAGCCAATTGCTTTCCAAAGATTGAATTATCCCTTGACAATAATTGACTTAAAGGTGATTCACCCTTTCTGGAGGCTTGTACTGGTTTATGTCAGAAAAGCACAGCCTCAAAGATGGGAGAGTCATATCACACAGCCTCAACCCTCGGCATCAATCCACATAAAACTTCAAAGAAGGGTAAGTGAGTCTGTATGTGTACAAAACACACTCTGTATATTTTCTGATAATTGCACTGCAGCTGAGTTCGGCAAAAGTCCATGAGGATTTTTAGATTTCCATAAAGAATGTTTTGCCCAAGTGCACTGAATTCCATACAGAACCTACACATTTGTGACTTAGAAGAAAAGGACAACAGAATAAACTATATACTTTAAGCAGAATGAGCTACAGCTCCACTCACATTTTTAAAAATTCACAGACTATAGAATCTGTGTGAAAAAGAATAGCTCTTGCATCACATATGAAAATTTGAAATCTCTATGCAAATCAAGATGAAAATGCACATGCTTCAGCCTTTTACTTGAAGAATTATTAGTTCAATTTTTCAAATATAAAACATTAAGTAATCATTTCTTCTATCAAAGTTTAATCACTGTTTTTGTAAATTTTTACCAAATCTAGAAACAACAGCATAATCCATATATCTAAGCACATTATCTGAGGACAAGAAAAAAAAATAAGACAAAATCTGTTCATTTTGCAAGGATCAAACAACAGTAAAAACAAATTACTCTTCTCAATTAAAAATTTCACCTTTGACAAGAAAAACTCATTTCACAAAACTGTTTTTCCTCTTTGCTGAGTGGGAATAGCGTTGCCCAGCAAAGAGTTTTAGGAAACTCTTCTCCAGTGAAAATGAAGTCTTCATCACCTAGAGGCATTATTAATTTGCTTTTCAACCAGTTTCTACTATATGTTGAGAAAAAGAATCTGATCAAGAAAATTCCTACCATTAAAGGAAAACCTTGGCATGGTTTGTCCTAGAAGGATGCTAATTATAGAGAAATAGGGTTGTCTTATTGTCGACGTAGGCCACAAATCACAATGTGCACAGTGGGCTGTGCCTGTGACCTGGCAGACCCTCCTTCAAGGACACCATCAGTGTACATGCTGCCCCGGGTCACTCAGAGCCCGGGTCCCCCTGCAGGCCTGTTCTCCTACCTTCATACAGCGCCTTGAAGCCCTGGGCACTCACTGCAAAGTCCGTGGTGAACCACAGGGTTAGGATAGATCCTGTGCTGACGATGGAGGAGGGCAGCTGAAATCCGGACAGCCTGAAAACACAAAGGACAAGAGCATACTTTAAAAGATTCTGGTTATATCTAAGCACACTGGAGTTAAAACCACAGAGTTAGGAGTGAAGCTTATGCGCTGGGTTGCCCCACACCTTTTAGCCGCAGTGTATTTATCTCGGGTGGTCATTAAACAACTATGGCCCATACCTGGAGCTGTGCTAATGATTGAAATTAAGCAAAGCCAAGCATCACACTGTGTTTATTTAATTCACTTGAGCAATCCTTCCAGGAAGCAGTTCTATCCCATTCTCTCAAGAGAGGATGTAGGAGAGAAACAGCGCATAGCTTCACACACCATGCAGGAATCAATATGATTTTTCTAGGCAATTTGAATTCATTAGTTTTCTCCTAAATTATTGAATAATGGTTGTCACTTCTCATGTTTAATCTACATATTCTTATATTTTCCCAGAATGTATTGTGATTTCTCTGAGAAACAAATGTATACTTGCCGTAGTGTTAAAGTAAACATCAGTTACCCTCAAGGAGTGGTTATGTGAATAGATCTTTATGTCTATTCATCAAAGAAAAATGTTTGAATTATAAGAAAAATATTTCACAGAACATTGTGCTGGGATATATTTAAAAGCTTTAGGAAGAAAAGGTCTAACAGTTTAGCGGAAATGGGAGCGATAGGGAAAAGGTAAGAAGGGAAAAGAAAAATATGAGAAAAGCAAAAAATATGGAAACAAAATCTTTGTAAATAGGGAAGGGTGGAGAGGGTGAAGGGAGGACAGGAGAATGGAGAAAAAGTAAGAACCAAAATAAGTCGTGGAAAGGTGCAAGATCCAAATGATGAATGTGACTGTATCATATACCTAAAATGCACCAATAAACGTAATGAGAAAAAATAAAAAGCTGGATGTGTGGATTAGCACAATGGTACCCACAGTGCTTTGAAAACTAATAGTTTTTCCCTGGCCAAAGGAGATTGCATGTATCATCTCTGCCAACATTTTTAAGGAAGTGTGGATGTCTACAGATTTGTGTGTTAGTGTTGCCTAGAGACAAAGCTGTGTTGCAGGGCCAATCAACCAGAATGTCCATTCCTCCAGGAGAAAGTGCCCATTGACAGATGTCTGCAGTTGTAAATATCTCAACACCCAGCATAGGTTCTGGTCTCAGAGCTCTGGACCGAATGGACATGGTTTACTAAGCACCAACACCAAAGCAATCCTGGATGAACAAGGGCAGAACTACCAGGCTTAGAAAAACAATGAGATCTTGCTTCAGTAGCAAAGTAACTGTGCAAATACTCCTCACACTTAGGAGCTATTGACTTGTTTTTCAGTATACTCATTTGTATCTCAAGTTATTTTGATTTCACTTTATGGTCCTTAATTCACCAATTCCTTATTTTAGATGGCCACACCCCATGGGCCAACTTGTTATAAACCATTTTTAAAGTCAATGTCTTAAGTGAAATACAAATACCAAAGTAGGTGATATGTACATGTTAGCGTCTCTTAGAAAACTTGACCATGACACAAGATCATCCAGTTGACAAGCTGTGTTTCACACAGAAGAGGTTGGAGCATCTCAGCAGGGCCTGGCCAGGCTCTGGGAAAGGGAGGCCACCTGCCCACCAGGCACCACGAGGCAGGATGCCAGCTGTCTGGGTTGCATTATCCCTGGGGCGATCTCTCACACTGGGGTCCTGATGGGATCCACATTCTTCTCAGCAGCTTCCCTTCCATCTCTGAAAACCCACATGACCCTGAGCCCCTGAGCTTGCTGTGTCCTGTCCCAGCGACTCCTGCCTGGTCTTCCTTCCTGTCTGTACCTTCATCTACTCCTCCATCTGGTGAGACTCAAGCTCTGTGTGCATCTTGTGGACTACAGACAGCTGCTCTCCACTCTTGCTGTCTTCTGATCTACAGTACCTCGGGGACTGGGATGGGGAGGAAACCAGGGACCTCACCCGTCTCTGCAGATGCTTTGCCACGGTTGCCACATCACCTAAAGCAGCCCAGACAGCATCTGTGTGGTGCAGACTTTGCTTCAACAAAGGGAAAGTGAACAACACTGACTCCATCCTCTGCTGTGGCCAAACACTAATAAGGCTATGGAACTCAGCAACGCCATCTAGCAGCCGGACTAACAGCCTTAATGGAGCACCCATGCAGTGAGTGAAAAGCACCTTTCTGTCCTGTGCCCGCAGAGAACACACCAAGGTGCCCATATTCTAAGCGAGACAGCAAATCTCCAGAAACTGAGAATAATGCGGTTGTACAAAGTGTGCTGATTACAATGCTATCAACTTAGATATGTGCAACAGAAAAAGTATGACAGGAAGATCCCTAATCACTTGAAAACTAGACAGCATGCCTTAAAAAATGCGTGGGTCAAAGAAGAAGTTTCAAGGAAATAAAGATGTACACCAAACTAAATGAAAATACAAGTACAGCATACAAAAATGCGGAGGGCCAGGACTGTAGCTCAGGGATTCCACCGCCTGCCTTGCAAGCGCAAGGACCCAAGTTCAATCCCCGGTACCAAATAAATAAAGAAATAAATAAATAAATAAATAAATAAATAAAAATTCGTAGTGCTTAACTAAATAGTGCCAAGAGGGTAATGAATAACATTAAAATGTATATTAGATAATAAGGACACTCTCACATCAATAACTTAAGACCCCAAGTCAAAAGTTAGAAAAACAAGAGTAATATAAGCTAACACAGGTATAAGCAAAAAAATATGAAAAGATAAGGGAAAAATCATAAGTTTCAAATTTAAAATAATAATATAGACAAATGATGGAACAAAGAGGTCTTTCTTTGAAAACATTTATAGCATTGGCAAACATCTAAGAATACTGACCAAAAAATCAACTGATGGTGTGGACGGTGGCTCAGCAAACATGACCAGACATGAGAGACATCACAGAGACAGAGAAGGGAGGCCAGAAGGACACAGACAGCCCATGTGAATGACCACGCTCTCAAAAACATACTCTTGCAACTCACCCAATACGAAGTTCACAGTGAGAACCACCATATACCCCATATACCATACCTGGCACAACTCCCCCAAAATAAACTTCCAGACCTACATGTCCTCATTTTACCATTCTACCAAACTTTTAGGGACTAGCAGGCATTCCACACAATGGGAGCAGATGGAAGGAACACTCCTCCGCTTATTTTAGGCCATTAGTAAAACTCATTTCTTTAGAATGAATTGTGTGCCCTCTTTCAAAAATTCACCTGCCGGAGGGCTATGGGACACAGAGAGAAGGCTGCTGTCTACAAGTAGAGAAGAGGCCCTCGCCAGGCTGGACAGGTGTCCCAGCACCTGATCTCAGGTCCCAGCCTCCACGTGCGGAGAAAGGGGGTTCCTGTCCAAGCCAGGGAGTCTGTGACCTTGGGGTAGGATGAAAGTAGGAATGATCCTGATGCCAAAATCAGCAGAAAAAAGAAATGGAGAAAGAATATGCTTTAAGACCATAGAAACAAGTTATTTTTAAAAATAAAGAATAGAGTTAAGCAGTGTAAAACAAGAACTGTACACCATGATAGATACTAAAATAACTTAATACTTCGAAAGTCAACCAGTGTCATCTGCCATAGTAGGAGCCTAAAACTAACGAACATGAAATCACAGTAATGTGTGTCAACTTATTTCACAGAATTAAGCATCTAAGAATGAGAAATGTTCTCAGTAAAATATGAATGGAGATAAATTTCTTCTGTTTGACTAACAGTATCAATAATCTACTGATAAAATTACATTCGATGGTAGAAGGCTGAATTCTGTTCCTCAAGATTGGGCAAACCAGAAGTGATAAGAGGTCCCTTGACTTGAGTAAGTTTCTGTTTCCACTCTGAGTCAACACAAGGTAAAAGATCTTGCCAGACTGTGACAAGAAAAGGAAATACATCTGCGCAGATCTCAAAAGCAGAAATACAGTTGTTAGTATTTGCAGGTAACATGATTGTCCACAAGGAAAATGCTAAGGTGTGGTAGCCTATCGCTGTAATCCCAGCATGCAGGAGGCTGGGGCAGAAGGATCTCTGGGAGGTCAAGGCCAGTCTGGGCTCCATAGTGAGTGCAAGACCATCCTGAACTACACAGTGAAAACTTACCTCAAAAAACAAAAAACAACAACAACAAAAAAAAAACAGCCAAGGAATGTACAAGGAAACTCAGAGAGCCAGTATTTGAGATCAAAAGGACACACAATAATATGCAAAATCACTTTAATTTCAACACACCAGCAATGTACAGGTAGACAGCAAAATTAAAAATACACCATTTATTACCATGTGAAAAATTCTTAGATTAAAACTAAGAAAATGTGTATAAGAATTTACACTGAAAGCTATCCGATACTTGAGAAAAAAAGAAAACTGGATAAATGGAGAGGCATACCCTGCTCATGCATCAGCAGACTCAGAACTGTAAAGACGGTCATTCTCCCCAAATTGATCCACAAACTTTACACAAATTCTATCAGAGTTCAGACAATATTTTCAGTAAATATAGATAATTTACCCTAAAATTAATATGATAAGTTAATACATAAATTAGGATGTCTCTACCAATTTTGAAAAAATATATGTAAGATTAGTCCATCAGATTTCAGAATTTATTTTAAACTATGGCAATGAACACTGCCCAGTACTGATCTCCTGGAAGAGGGATAACCCCAACTATAAGTGTATCAAAGCACAAAACCTGGAAATAGACTTATACAAATAGTCTCTACTTATGTTAGACAAATTGTGAAAGTAAACCAATGGACAAATCCAACAAATTCTGCTGGAACAGTCTGATGATCACAAGTCAAAAAACAGACAAGCAAATAAGCAGGCAAACAAGAGCCCTAGAGCTAAGTCTAACTTCTTGTATAGTAACTACAGTGGTAAAATGTAAGATTTTCAAACAAATTTTAAAAATCTTTAGGTTCTCTGGAGCTAAGCAAATAATTCCTAGATAAACACTGAAATTATAATCAAGAAGGAATATTATTGTAC